CTTTTCCTGTTGCTCCCATACCAAGTTCCACCCCCTCTCATACCCGCCATTCTGCAATGATGGAATGGTCCCTGCCCCTCACTTACTCAGGGGCCATTTCTAGAGCCCTGGTTGCTCCCCAGTTTTGCCTAATTCTTTACTGGATCTACTTTCCAGGCCGTAGATTTTTAACAGTTGCTTCCAGGTACATTGTAAATCTCTTGCAGAATCTTTCTGTATGTACCCGAGGTCATGATCAAGAGGGATTGGGTGGGTCTGATTTATTTCCTGGTGATGTCCAAAGTGCTCAGTAAACTGCCTTTATACACAATAGCAAAGGTTTTCTTGCTTTGTTTGCTTTGCTCTTTTGGTTTTCTTTTAGTAAACAAGTAGATTTCTTGCATGTAAAGGGGATAGGCAAATACTGACTTTTGACTCATGTGTGGAATGTTACTTTTCTTATCCCAGGCCAAGAAATGGTTGGTATCATGTGGAAGGTGATTGTTTCATTGATCCTGTTTATGGTCGTTCCTGGTGATGGATTGTTTCGCTCCATATACCGAAGCACCCATGTTTCCAGGCCATTCAAGGGAAATGCAGGACAGCCTCTGTTTCTTACCCCTTTTATCAATGCTGGGAAGATCAAGGAAGGTAAGTGTCAGAAAACTGCTCCTGCGTTTTCAATGGTGTTTTAAAAGCAACCATGCCCCAAGATGTGAAACACTTGTCAGTATTTTTATTCCGTTGTTTTATTTCAAATACTAAAGACTTGATGTCATGTATTATCTGAGTTTTGAGCTAAAATGAGGTGGTTGGAGATGGAATATTGATATATTTAAGTTGCAGACTTTCTCTTTATAAAACCTGTGAATGTCTTGAAGTGGGCAGCATTGACAAAGCCACTACAAACCTTGCAACTTTTGTCTGTGGATGTTGACATTAGCACTCGGCTACAAAGCAGGGTGTGTCCACATAGGAAGACTGAAGTAGGAGGGCCAAGGACCTGCCAGAATTCACACAGATGCCAGCTGGTGGGTGTGGCCTCCACACTCAGAGGGCTTCCCTCCACCCACTCTGCTATGCCTCTCACCTGGCAAGTTATTCACAGAGTAGGCTTCAGTTTCCTTGTCAGAAAGAGTTAACAAAATTAGCATCTTATATAACTTGCAAGAATACCAGGAAAATCTAGTGAGAGAGAAATACAAAACAAAACAAAAACTTAGAAAACTCCCCATATCCTGTACATTTCTTCCCAAATCTTAGTCATTAACAGACTACCAGGCGGTTACTATCTACCAGTTAATAGAAAGAAGTCACAATTGGTGTTGTTAGACTAAAGTGTATGATTGCATCTGCTCTCTCTCACCGAATCTTGGTGCCTAGGTAAGTCACCGAGGCCACAAAGAACATCCTCTGTGGGAACCTGGTTGTCCCCTGAGCTACAAGTAGTGCACAGACTCTGACTTTGAGGAATTGTTTGTACAAAGGAGCAGAGGACTGGGCTGGTGGCCAGAGGGAGTCAAGGAAGGGTAGCAAAGAGGAGACAGACAATGAGTGTTTGCTGAAGCAAGGGATGGGTGAGGTGTGATCTGAGGAGCTGCTGGCGGGCACTGAGTGTGAGAGACACAGAGGAGGGACTTGCTGGAGGGTCAGATGGGACTGAGGGTGGAGGAGACCAGAAGTTTCAGGGAAATACTGGTTTCAAAGACCAAAAGTAAGTCTAAACACTGTACAAGGAAGTTTAAAATAAAGCGGTTTCCTCAAAGGAAGTGTCCTCACAATCAACAGGTTACTATCACTTTTGTTTTCTTTGCTATAAAGAGGGTTGAATCCTACCCTCATGGTTTCTCCATGAAATCTGCATAGGCTCTGGACTTTGCCAGTTCTTTGCTACAGGAAGGTGAAAACACCTTTCTTGTGTAATCAGAATATGTAAAAAGGGATTCAGTTTCACTTTCTGCACCAAATACATGGAAAGATGGCTGCCTGGCCACATGGGCTGATTCTTAAAGATGTATCTGAGTAGGAACACAACAACCACCCAACCCCACAGTGCCGGACGGAATTCAGCCCAGCTTCCTTGGTAACTGCAGAATTAATGTGCAGATTTATCTCATTAACAAGAAGTCAGAGAAAACCATTTGATGTGGAGTTGTAAAGGGGTTAAGGTCATTATAACCAAGTCCTACCCAGCCCCATGCAAGGAAGGAGACTCGCGCATCTGGATTTGCCCAAAGGAGAAGCTGGGAAGAGAGACTGGGAGCAGAGGAGCCCATGGGGCTCAGATCTTCTGGTTTCCCCTCTGTGCTTTGCCTACTGTGGTATATTTTTTCTTGTTTAAGAAGCTCGTGGTTTTCTGATATAGATGTACTAATACATGGGAACCAAGTAAGGAATGAAGCTAAAGTGTTACATCCAAGCTAGGTATGCTAAAAGTTCGAGAAGGAATGCTATTGCTATAATCTAGGTAGGAAATAATAGTAGTAGTGACAATAATTACCAATAAATTATAAAGTCTACATTATGAATAAAAATAATAAATGACTTAAAATAAATAATAAGTGATTAGTAATACTCAGTTGTTAGTTCCTATTACTAGCACAATACTTTTATGTGGTAGGCACTTAGTAAATACTTATGTGATTTACATTTGAGTTTCAACCACGTGCCAGGAACCATGTTTGCCATATCTTAGCTCATGTAGGTCTCAGAGCAACTCTAATAAAGAACATATAATTATTGTTCCTATTGCACAGATGAGAAAACTGGGGCTCTAGGAAGATAAGTATCTTTTCCAGAGCTACAAAACTAGTAAGTGGCAGATCTGGGATCATAACTTTTGTCTACCAACCATACTATGAACCACTGTGCCATGTGACAATCTCCTGACTCAATAATGTAGATAAGATATGGTGGCCCAAAAAGGGTCTTTATACACACTGAACTAGGAGACAGCTAAGCAAATGCATTAAGTGGAGAAACCATCACATGTCTTTGTCCTGTGTAGCAGAACTGAGTGAGAAGAACACTGCAGAATCCACCTGAACAATGGGTCATCCCCTTTGAGGCTTAGGGGCATCCCAGGGTCATGGGCATACACAGTAAGGGAGAAAGCTTCATCTTTAGACATTTGGTAGCAAGCCCAGCAGATCCTCTCCCTATGAATGGCAGCATTTGAGACACCGATTGATACATAACTTCCATCATTAAAGTTGTGTGTCGTACTCAGAATCGCTGAATGGAATTTGAATGGTGGATCCCAAAGCTGGTACATCTGGGGACTCAGATGCTGCCCAACAACATAATTAAGGATAATTTTATTCATCCGCCTTACTGAAAGTTCAGGGAGCTGTGGACAGATGGGCAGCTCCCTCTTTAAATCCCCATTGTTAGTGGAATCTGTCAAAGCTGCAGGAATGGGAGTCTTAACATGGCAACAGAACAGTTTTGAGATAAACAGTGGTTCAGAGAAAGACAAGGGGAATTTTTATTTTTTTAATACCCAATTAGCTAGCTTAATTTTATGTAATTGTAATTGCATGTTTGCTTTCTCTGAGGCTAAAAATAAGTCCTTACATTCTAGAATAAAATGCAGAAGGCAAATTTTAGCATCTGTACAAACACTATATTTTTACAAATTCCAAAGGATATTTGTTGTTGGGTCCTAATTTGTTGCTTGTGGACTGAAAGTATGTTGTCTGCTCTGGGGATGGCTGGGGTGTTTGTGGATCTAAATGTGTACCCCAGTTGGCTGGTTCAACCCTTCGCTGGCCACACTCCAATTATTCTCAGGGTATTAATGTCACAAACACTGGCGACAGCAGTGAACAGCAAAGGAGGAAGTGAGATGGCTTCAGAGAAAGCCTTTTCCTTCTTTAACTGTTTTTATTTTTTTTAATTTATATTGTGTGTCACTATTCCAGAAAGATAAAAACAACAACAATAACAACAACAAAAACCTACACGTGGGAGTCTGTTTTCCATACTGCATTAACAGCTGACTCTGGTCTAAGGATGAAAGGCACATTCAAACATATCTAAAAATCATGTTAGTTGAGGGAGCTTTTGATTATCTTACTGCGATTTGGTGAATAGGAATTTAAAATATGAAACGGGACAAAAACACCTACATTACATAGAAAGGGGTCTTCAAGATTTGTTAAGATATTGGCAAGGTCTCTTTTCCTGAGGGGTTTGTGGAAATTTGCTGATGCCAATGCAGTGTCAGTGGCTGCCCAGTCCTCCATTCCTTCTTCTACCCTTCATTACTGTCCATTCTTGAAAAAGTATTTATGGAGTGTCTTAAGAATATGAACTATCACACTAAGTCCCAGGGGTTCGGAGATGAAGTGAGACAAATTGGCTGCCTCCCTACTGCTCCACTTGGACAGGACACGCTTAAGTACAAGTCAGTAGAGATGCAACCTGGGCGTTCTCAAGAGGGAGGGGCAAGTGAGCAGCCAAACCAATGCGGAGCCAGCCTGAGACCCTGTGCAGCACTGGCCTCAGAGACAGATTGATCCAGTCATCTCTCGTCCATATTCCATTCCCTCCAGCTCCCTTCTATCATATATTTTCTCTTTTTCTCATTGTACTTTGACCTCTCTCATTTTTCTCTGTCTTCTACCTCAAGTCCTGTCCTACCCATTACCTCTCTCTGGATTGTATCTCACCCATTCCAGCCTTCAGTTTTTACTTCTTGGTCATTCTTTGTGAGGAATGGATGTGTGTCTGTCCGATGTTGAGATGATTAATAGATTTGCTAGATGTAAGGGCTTTCCAACTCTGTAGTGTGATGTTCTTTTGATTGAGAGTAGAAGGAGAGGAAGAAAATGACAATTGGTGGGAAGAGTGGGAGTTTAGACAAGGCCAGTGTCTTAGTCACTGTTCTTTTGCTGTGAAGAGACACGATGGCCAAGGCAACTCTTATAAAAGAAGGTATTTCATTCAGTGGGGCCTTGTTTACAGTTTCAGAGGTCTAGTCCATTATGATCATGGTGTGGAGATTGCCAGAATGCAGCAGACATGACAAGTAGTTGAGAGTTACAACCTGATTTTTGCAGACAGAGAGAGGTGATGGGGTAGACTGGGCCTGACACAGGCTTTTAAAACCTCAAAGCCCACTCCCGGTGACTCACTTCCTCCAACAAGGCCTTTTCCCCTGTTTATATACTCATGTGTACATATGTGCCCTAGTGTGGAGGCCAGAGGACATTGCTGGGTGTCATCTTCAGTAATGTTATCCACCTGCTTTGGGACAGAGCCTCTCACCAGTCTGGAGCACACTGATTTGGCTAGAACAGCAGGCCACAAGTCCTAGGAGGTCCTCCTGTCTCGGCCTCTTCAGCATGGGATTGCAAGCACCCACAACAGAAGCCGTGGTGATACATTGTTTATGATATATTAAAGCCACTGGAGATCAAAATAGCAAACGAGCCATACTAGTTAGCCATAGAAGCCAGGCGTGGTGGCACACAACTTTAATTCCAGGACTCAGGAGACAAAAAGCAGACAGATCTCTCTGAGTTCAAGGCCACCCAGGGCTATAAGAGATTGAGTCAATCTAAAAGAGTAAAGGATTAAAGGAGCTCATACCTTTAATCCCAGCACTAGAGAGGTATAAAAAGATAGGAGCAGGGTCTTCAGTAGTTAGTATCAGCATTCATTCTCCAGTCACATTGAGGATAGGAAGGAATTCATTCTCCAGCCATGCTGAGGAGAGGCATAAGTCTGAGGCTTGATGAGAGCTCATGAAGACAGGATCTGCCCTTTTAGCCTAAGGTAGAGGTAAGAGCTAGTGACCAGCTGCTTTGTTTTTCTGTTCTTCAGCTTGAAGCTTGAACCCCAACATCTGTCTCTGGGTATTTTATTTTTCATGTTACAATAAGCTGACTTTTTCTGTAGTCCTGGGGATTCAACCCAGGTCCTCATGCTTGTGAAGCAAACCCTTGACTGACGGAGCAATCAAGCAATCAAGCCCTTAAGCTGTCTTCTCTTGACAGACTTGGACATGATGACTCTGTGTTCCTGAGTACCCTAAAGGATCAACCTGTCTTAGCTGAGAATCTACAGCACAGGCTGCCACCACAGAGTCACTTTGTGCTGGTTAGGCAGTTGTGCTAGAGAGTACAAATGAAGAAGACAGGGAAGTGTGTTCCAGAAGTGTACCCCTTTGGAAAGGCATGTCCATTTCTAAAAAAGGAACTTGTAGTCTCAAAGCTAAGACTTACAAGCCTATGACAAGAGAGAAGTATAGGAAGGGGAGGTACCATGCCTAAGGTCTCCCAGCATTAAAGAGGAACTGAGGCTAGCAACCCAGTAGCCACAGGCAGGCTGCAAGGCTGCTTCTTCCTGCCGACTGTAGGTGGCTGCACTGAGTCAGGAATATGTGGGAGAAAGGCCCTGGATTTTACATCACTTCCTTTGTGATTGAATACTCTTACTATGGTAGATTTCTTTTCTCTGTCAATGATGTGGCTGGGTGCTGGGCTGGGGAGAGATGCCCACCAGAATGAGTGTCATTGATGGCATGTTGACCTAAGCATTCTCCAATTTAATGTATCTCAGACTGAAATACCATTCTGGAGTGAGTCTGCACTGAAGGACATTTTTTTCTTCCTTGCCAATTTCTGTTCCTCTTGCTCCCACGTGCCCCAGCACCCACTTTCTGTTCCTCTTCCGGCCTGTTCCTTGTTGTCACTTCTCTTTCACTTCTTGTCACCTATACTCCATTCAGTGCTGCCACCTATAGCAGGCAGGAAGGAGCAGCCTTGCAGCCTGACTGGGGCCAGTGGTGTGTGTGCCTGCATTCCTCTTTAATGTAGGACGACCTTGGGCACACTATCCCACCCCTTTCTATGCTTCTCTTTTGTCAAAGTTTGTAAGTCTTAGTTTCCATCAGCATCATCTTGTCTGAGGCCCCCAAGACTGGCTTTTTTCTCCTTTCCTGTCCCTCTGCTGGCATCAGAAATCCAGGGCCTCTGCCTTCCACAACTGCCCCTGTTCTACTTGGCGGCTTCCTGTGTGGTCATGAGGTCACCCCAACACCCTTTTCCAGCCACACTCAGCCTCTCATGTCTGAACCCTAAGAGACCAGCAGACTTTGTGCTCCTAACAACAAGAAGGTGGGGCCCAGAGGCTGCCCCAAGACTTCCAGCTGCTTAGTTTGTTTCCCTGTACCCTTCCTCCTGCCCATTCAATGGGTGCAGTGGAAACACCTGAGGGACTAAAGTGATCAATGATGGGTGATTTCCTTTGCTTAGGAAAAAAACAAAACAAAACAAAACAGCCGCAAAGACTTGGATCCTGGCCCCCTTTAGATCCCAGCCTCCTTGACAGCTCCTCTTGACCTTGGCCTCACTGTGAATAGGGAGTCTATGGGACCAGCTGGAGGAGGCTGGAACTTTCGGTTGTGAGTACTCCTCATGCCAGCCTTCTCTTACTTAACTCCTTATCCTGGCCTGGTGGTCGGCATAGGTCTCCCCCGACCCAAGCAGGCTCTTGGAGCATGTTCTCTAACCTTTGGGTACATTTTCTTTCTCTTCACCAGCGCAAAAGAAGAGCATGGTCAGTCCTTTCCCTGGAATGAACTTGAATAGTTACGCTGGCTACATCACGGTGAATAAGACTTACAACAGCAACCTCTTCTTCTGGTTCTTTCCAGCTCGGGTAGGTGGCTGAGGCCTGGAGTGGAGAGCTGAGGGGGGCTCACACCAGGTGGAGTGGAAATGGCAGCTTCCATGGGTAGACCCATGGGTTTTGTTATTGTTTGTTTTCCTGCATGTGTCTCTGTGTGTGTACATGTATGTGTGTGGATGTGCATGTAGGGGGGAGGTGGTTGTGTCTTCTTCATTTGTTCTTCTCCCTAGTTTTTGAGGCAGGGTTTCTCACTGATCCTGATCATGCCAGACTGGCTGGCCACTAGCCCCTGGGATCTGTTTGCCTCTGCCTCCAAAATGCCGGGGTTCCAAACCTATGCCACCAAACCCATGTTTGTGTGGGTGTTGAGGATCCAAACCCAGGTCTTTGTGTCTTCATGGCAAGCACTTTGAACACCGATTCATCTCCCCAGCCCTATTTGCCTTTCTTTTGAAATTAGCACAGCATAGGTTAAACAACAGGTTAAAACTGGCATAGTAACAGATTTCTTATGGAATTTTTATGCACAGTTTGTTTTTGCGGAGTCTCTTTCTCCACTTCTTCCGCTTCTGCCTCCCCTCCTGGCCCTGTTTTATACCCTTCTGCCTCTAGTCCTTTTACTGCTTTTATTTAGGTCATGTGACCTATACCCTCCCCCACTTCCCTTAAACTTCTATTTTCTGCAAGGCTTAAGAATCTTAAAGTACTTTATGCTTCTAAAAAATGAATGACTGTTTGTGGAGGAGGTGTGGACAACCCCCCTCCCCACATACGTTATAGTAACACAGCGACGCCCTTCCTGTCACTGCCTTATTTGTGTCTCTTAATTGTTGCTTTATTCAAATAATACTTGGGGCAGGGTGGGCATTGGAGAGACTCCAAGGAAAGTAAAGAGTGGGGAGCCCCTGAGAGAAAGGAGTGGGGAGTGGCTAGAACTCACAGGTCCCAGCTTAGTCACCAGGCCCACTTGCGGTCTTCAGGGGCTACTCACATCCCCAGGTCCCTGGAGATGAAGGAGGGAATGTTTTTGAGCTCACTAGTGAGGTCTGGCTCATTCCCAGGTCACACAGTTCTTTGAGAACAAGACACATTAAGGTTGAAGGTCCCTTTGGGGCTCTGGGGAGAGGCGCTGAGGTACATAAACACATTAAAAGCCCACTACAGAGAACTTTGCTATTTTTCACTTGCCAAATTGGATTTGCTTTAGAAGCTGGAGAAAGCAAAGCAAAGCCTATCTCCGTGGAGGTTGGTGTTCATCTTTGCATATGATTTGCATACAGCACTGTTGTATATTTAATAACTTAGTGAATTGCTTCAACCAGTGTGACTGTGAAGTTGCATAGTTTTTTTTTTTTTTTTTTTCTGGAACTGTCCCTCTTCTCTGATGAGTCATCTCTCTAGCCCCAAAATAACTTTTTAAAGTATAACTCTATACAATAAAATGCTTGGTTTGCAAGGGAGCAGTGCTATTGGTTTGGAAAACTGCATACACCTGTATAACAGCCATGTCTATTATGATAGAGAACACACCATTGTTAGACCCCCGGAAAACTCAGGTATCCAGGGTCCCAGACCACGATCACGGTCACCCCAATCACCAGGCGGATTCGAGAGCTTGCTGCAAACTGCATGAGGCTTTATTGTAATTTAACAAGCTAACCCCATGTTAGCTGGGTCTTTCACCCACCCGCCATGGCGGATGGCTAGCAAAGACAGCTCCTAGGGACTCCCGAGAGATCTAAGGGTACACACAGGCTCACGATTGGTGTGCCTCCGGGCTTGGAGGGCTTGCCCTGTGTTGATTGGCCAACTGGTTGTTATGGCCCATAGGCCCTCCCAGGGTGGTTGCTATGCTTTGTGCGTCATTGCTGTGCGCTTGTCCGTAAAGCACACCCAGGGTCGTAAAGCATAGCGCCACCATCTAACTTCTGATTGGTTCCTTGTCACGAGGCAGGCATCTGACTTTCTAGTGTCTAGGACAAGGTCATAGAAGCACGTGTTCGGCCGCTATGACTGCCGAAAGGGAAGCTGGTCCCTTCACTATGTTTTCTTGACTTATTTCTCTCTCCTAGCCACATGACTTGTGATGTACTTCACCTCCCGGTAGCTGTCCTTCAGAGAACGGAGGTGGGTGGGTGAGAAGTAGAGAGCTTCAGTTGTTTAAGGTGGGGTCTTTGGACCCTCACTATTTCTGGTAGGCTTTCCTGGACTCTGAAGGAATTTTTATTTCTTCTTCTGTGTGGCTGTTGAATGAGTAACTGAGGAGTGCAGAGCACAGAGTTTTGGGAGAAATGGGACAGATGAGGAGAGGTGACTATGTCCAAGGTCAGTACTTGGGCATGAGCACAGTCTTCTCTCTAGAGCTGGCCATTGGTAGACCCCAGCTGGCACAGAAAGGGAGGTGTGCTCCCTTGAGCCTCCCAGCAGAGCCCAGCAGGGTGAAGGCTGCTAATGGACCTTCTTCAGCAGCAAACAGCCCAGAAGTCTCGAGGCCACTTGACCTAAATGAGGCCTAAAAATGTAACCTCACTTTACCACACAGAGATGCTTCTTGTGTTTCTGTACTGTATTCGTTTCAGAGCTCAGCTTTGTATGCATACCCTAAGCTCACAAACCCCGTGAGCTCTTAGCAGGACTTTGTTGTGTTTCTTGCCATCTCCATCCAGGCATTTTCTCCTCTCCACTCCTTGCCCTCTCATCTCTTTTTAATTGCTTCTCAAGCCCCAAGTTTCTCTGAAGTTTCATACCTGACTTAGGAAATGTAAATATGTTTATGTAAGCTTCGTTTTGTTTTGAGATAGGGCCTGGCTATGCAATCTAGGTTAGCCTTGAACTAGTGGTGATCGTCCTGCCTCAGCATCCCCAGTTCTTGGATGACTGGAATGTACCACCACTATGGCTATGTAGCAATTTTTTAATCTACATATAAAAATTATACATCTTTATTGGCTACCATGTGATGTTTTGATACAACTGTATACTGTGTGATGTTTAAATATCAGTGTGATTTCAAATGCAGGTGTGCCTGCTGACGTCTTATGAACATCTATTTCTTTGTGGTGAAAATGTTCAAAGCACTTTCTTTTGTCTTTTTTGGAATGCACTATACATTGTTGTTATCTACTGACACGACACTGTGCATACACCCGGAACTTCTCCCATTGTAACTTAGTCCCTCTAAGGCTAAATTTGGGGGCTAAACCTTGCCCTCCCCTGTCCTCTCTCCAGGCTCCTGCCCTGTTCCACAGTGGTCCCCATCTTCATCAGAAAGAAGTAGTCAAACCCGGGTTGAGGGGTTTGTGGTTGCCTGCATCCCTTTGGGGTGTGGGGTGTGGGCTAGGATGGGGGTCAGCTTTCACTAAGATCTCTTGGGGCTCAGCCTCTGTGATTCCATCCTTCCTTTCTCTGTGATCCCCTCCCCCATCCCAGCCGGTGAAGCCTGATTCGCTCCTTTTCTCTTCTACATTGTCACATCCTGGCTTTGTACCAAGAAGTTCTTCATCTGAATGTTGAGCCTTTAGGAATTATTCAGATTTTTGGGAACAGCAACTAGAAATGAGAAAAGATGAGAGAAGAACCCAATAACAGAAAGAAGGTTTTCTTTCCTTCTGTTTCTACCTGGCAGGGCTGGTTCAGCATGGCTTTGTATGCTGGACTGGAAAGGGGTGCAGTTTCCTTATGCTCTGTGGGTTCAAGGCTAGCCTGTTGGCTTGTTAAGTTTTCTGCCTTAATTGAGAACCCAGTTTACCCACTGACTGAGATGTCGTCCTTTAGACCCAGTTCTATAGCCATAAATACATCCTAAGATGGTCCCAGAAGTCCTGGCCATGTACTGTCTCAACACAAAGGTCTTAGACTCAGGGTTCTGAAACAAGTGATAGGCAAGCTTCCGGGAGAAGGCAGAGTTTTGTGAAAAGGCTATAGTGCGGACAGGTGTGATAGGGAAAGATTGGGAAACACCTCACTGGGATGTTCACAGTCACAACCAGGTATCCAAGGCTTCCAGCTAGGAACCAAGTAACAGAGTGGGACAGTTACAGCACCCAAGGAGAAGCAGCTGCCAACCACAATGAGGGAAGTCCCTTTCATTTAGCAGAATTATGAGTTCCTTGCCTGTCCCAGGGAAGCAGCTGACATTGTCGTCAGAAGAAAAATGACACCTTTTAAAGACTGGGGGTAGCAAAAATAGAGATCCAGGAAGGATGCAGCACTCAGCATCCTCTGAGTCATTTTCTGGATGCTGTTTCTCAGATTAGTTTAGTTTTCCTGTTATTTCTGTGAGAGTCCCCTGTTATTGTCTACAATTCAGTGCATAATGAATTCCAGAAGACAACATCAGTGTGCAGTGGGAATACTGTAGGAAATAGCAGGCTTTATGCCAGTGATGAGCGGTGCACCGTAACCAGGAGATGACAGCACCTTTGGTGGCTGCTGTCAGGCAGACACAATCCCTGTGCCCAACCACCTTGCTCCTTAGGCTGAGCCAGAATTTAAAGCTCAATTGTAGACATCTTTGCGTTTGACTGTATGTGTCACTTCCCTAAAAAGTCCTTCCAGAAGGTTCTGAGGTACAGCGATTGAAAGTATGGCCTCTTGAGCTGGTCAGGCCTGGTAGGCCAGTGCACTCATCTGCACTTCCTAGTGTCACAGAGCATCTTTTGTCTCAGCTCACAGTAAGAATCTGAACAGCTGGCTGCCTGACCTGGGTCTCAAGGCAAAAGAAGTAATGGAGCCAGCTGATTAGAGAATTACCGACTCACAATAAATATCACTTTTAGTGTTATGTCCTTGTGACTGTTATTAGCACTATCACTTTGGTGATACCAGTTGCCACAAATACTGAGCCAAATAAATAATAGTTTGTGCTCTTTAAAGGAAATAGAAGGAAATTGCAAATCAGAAAGTCAGGGGTATAGCTCAGTGGTAGAGCATTTGACTGCAAATCAGAAAGCCCCAGTCACCAGGCAAAAAATGTAGATTAATTGCTGTTGGATAAGGAAATTACTATGTGAAATTGGAATTTGTCACAC